AGTTTAAATCTTATTTGGAATGTAAATTACTTGATTGCAATAATGAGCAATTAGAATACAGTGATTTATTTAAATTCAGCAAATGGTTGTGTGAAATAGGACAAGGGGGTTGCATGCAGGATTTGCCATCCACCCCATTGCCGGCAATGCAAAAAGAGTTGCGATATGTCACGGCACATCACGTGACATGGTGAGTTTGACACCCGTGTTCTAGAGGATGTTTTTTATTATATTTATTTGCTGACTCTCTCACTGAAGGTGACTCTAGGCAGCTTACAATAATAAAATTAATAAAACCATAAAAATAAATATTTCTAATAAATAATAACAATAAAACAATAAAAATTACAATTAAAAGATGGGGATGGAGGGAACAGGGTGCACAGGGGGTAGGTGGGATCTATTCTTAAACCATTGACTGCCTCCAGTGATACTCTCCCTTTGGTGTCCCAAGCCACCAGGTCTTCAGGCCCTTATGGAAGATCAGAAGGGTGGGAGCAGATCTCAGGTGGGAGGGGGGCAAGATGTTCCAAAGGACAGGAGCTACAACAGAAAAGACTACTCCTGGACCCACCAGCCAAAATTCTTTGACTGACATGGCGCATAGCATGCCCCTTCTGCTGGCATGGGTGGGATGGCCCTGTCCATTTGGGGTGAGACGGTTTCTCAAGTAACCTGGACCCATACCATGTAGGATTTTAAAGGTGATAGCCAACACATTGAATTGCACCTGGAAGCAAAAGCCAGTGCAGTTTGCTGAACAGCAGTGTAACATGGGCCACTCTAGAGGCTGCAAGAACTGTCTGCGTGCCGCACTTTGCACAAGTTGAAGCTTCTGAATGCTCTTCAAGAGTAGCCCCATGTAGAACATATTGCAGTAGTCCAAGCATGAGATGACCAGGGCCTGAGTGACTGAACACAGAATATGATTTCAAATATTGATTTTACTTACATGAAGTGAACAAAATTGAAAAGAGAATCATATGTTAGTTTTAACCCCAATGTGACAAGTATTTGACACTAAATATTTCAGGATTTTCACTGAAAAAAACCTAAGGTATATTTAATATAATTTTCACATAGATTTTTTTTAAATTAGAAGGTTTAAAGGTAATACATTGCCTTACATTATTTAAACGTTTTCTCCCCCCAAAACTAATATTAATAATGAATTCTAAGAACCAAAGAGAATAGGTTGATAAATATTAATGAATTTCAGAGAATTCTTTAAAAATTAGCACATGCAGACAGAGCAAAAGGCATCATTACTTCTATTTTAAATTCCAGAATTGGGACAAGCGCAATTCAAGGGTATCTTTCTTGACTTTTGCAATTCCCTTTCTCTTAATAGTAATTTGATGGCAGTTTTAATAAGTTTCTTATACATAGATCAGCTTTAAAAAGTCAGTAGGAACATGCACACAAGAAGAGGGAATTATAGAAATAGTGGCAGAGGGAATATTTTGATGGGCTTTAATAATCAAGAGTTTGAGCTATTATCAGCAATTTAAGGACAGTGCTTGACACAACTATTTAAAGTACTATTAGAGATATAAGCATTTAACAAGCCTTGAGGACGGCGGAGGTGAATCAGAAATTCAAACAATGCATGTTTCTAATCAAAAGTGAACTTTAATTGAGTTCATTTGAGAGACTTAATCAATTAAGTATCTTAAGTAATGGGGGAATGATCCAGCAGCATTGAGAATTTATTAGAATAACAATAGAAAACCAGAGAAGGAAATTTTAAGATACAGGAACAAAAAGGAAGAAAAATATAAAGGTATATTATTTATCCTTTTCTGAAACCCATACTGTGACTAGATACAACATTATAAATAAAACTGTAAGGAAAGGAAAAAGTAAAACAAGGATTTTTAAATAATAATTAGGAATTTTTTTTTGTAAAGGATTGGATTCTGAGACAGGACAGTTTTAGATTTTTTGTGACTTGGCAGCAATTTATTCTTGCTCCCAAGAATAAATTGTTGCCAAGTCACAAGAAATCTAAAATTGCTCCCAAGAATAAATTATTTTATTTATTGCATTAGTTGACTATAGATTGATGGGAAGTAGACCCTAGGTCAGTGTTTCTCAACCTTGACAATTTTGGCTGTGGAATTCTGGGAGTTGAAGTCCACATGCCTTAAAATTGTCAAGGTTGAGAAACACTGCCCTAGGTTGTCTTCATATTGTTTAATTTGTTAGGTTTAATATAAATTAATTTACAATTAATTTAATATAAATTAATTTATAACTTTTAGCATCTATGCTGGTTATGTGTACCTTCTGGAAGGTTTCATTGAATAGCATGCTAACACATTTATTTCTTTGAAAAATACAGATAGGATTATTTTACCAACTTTTTTCATAAGGGTATAATATATGATTATTGTTTCACTATTAAATATTTTAACATTAAACAAAGTTTTTAAAATTAAATATATTTACTTTCTGTTGCAATATAAGTATTGTTTCTGGACACATGCTAGAGTGTTACATAATATTTTGATAAATATAAGATAGTAGAAAATGCTATTAGTTGTTTGTCTTAGTCTTATGAAAAGAGTACTTGAAAAATATACAGACTGGACGCTCTTTGCACCTCACCCAGAGTCTTTTTTTACCAAGTAAGTCTAGCAGAAAAGAAGGAGCCTGGGTGAGGTGTGAATGGAGGCTGGTGCACAAGAGAAGACCCCATGGCTCTAACAAACAGGTGTCATGGCTCTAACAAACAGGTGGCTGTTAACAATCATGAGGACTCTGTACACTTTCTTAGGCATTACAGATGTCAAGACTGCTAACATCGGATGTTCTTGCTTGCCATATATGGAGAGTCATCTCATTTAACTACATGAGACATGCTTCTATCATTCAATAAAACTTTCAGTAACTTTATCTTCCAGATGCCTAGAACAGTGATGGCGAACCTTTTAGAGACCAAGTGCCCAAATTGCAACCCAAAACCCACTTATGTATCGTTGGGTGTCGGGTGGATGTGGCCCACTGGGTGGGTGTGGCCCATTGGGTGGGCATGGCTGCTGTGGTAACGGCAGACTGGGTGGGACTAAAAGGTTCAATCAATTCCAACTTTGCGAGATCTTTTTTCCCCCTGCAAGTTGAAATTGATTGATTGAACCTTTTTTTTTTTTTTGCACACGGCAGTGGAGGCCTAAAGTGAAAAGGTTTTATAAAACCCAGCTGAAGGCCTAGGACTGGGGTGACAGCACGCGTGCCCACAGAGAGGGCTCTGCATGCCACCTGTGGCATGCGTGCCATAGGTTCGCCACCACGGGCCTAAAATATTCTTCACAGCAGCCCTGTAGATGATTTGCTGGTCATTTCCTTCAAAATAGAACAACTCTCTGCAGCCGTTTTGTTGTAACCATCTCACCATGGCCATCTTCTCCCAACCATCTCACCATGAGACAGCTCGCTGCAGCCAACTCGCCGTGGGACAATTCAATGTGGGATAACCCAACACAAGATAACTGTACTGTTATCTGCCACTGTTATTTTAATTTTTGTCATTCACATTTCATTTTGTCCCTCCTTTAGCATACTTTATTTAATTATTCTCTTCAACCATTTCTTTAATATTATCAGATGGTGGAATAGAATAATTAAACAGCGGCAGATAACAGTACAGTTTTCTCATGTTGAGGCATCCTGCGTCAAATTGTCCTGTGTCAAGTTGTCCCGCATTGAGTTGGATGGACTGAGCCGGTCGGGGCAAATCAGCTGCGTATTGTCTGCCAGGTACAATCCTACATTGACCCAGAGGCCCTATTTAGCAGTAAGATACTTAATCACCACTCATTTAGACTAGTATAGCATCACATGGGACTTCCCTTGCGGAAATCACAAAAAGATTGTATTAGTCCAAGTAATGTTGGATTCCATGTAACACTTTAAAAGCTGCAGTTCTTTTCTGAGTGCAGCTGAAAGAGCTGATTGTTACCTATAAAGCTTTAATGCGCTAGGATCTGGATGTCTGTTCTAGTGGTTTCCACTGAGCCAATAGGGTTTGAAAGAGTAGCTTCTCTTAGGTCACTTCTTTTAGACAATGTCATCTGTACGGATCTCTTCCCTCCCCCTCCCCAAAATTAAATTAGTTCCTTTCCTACTGGTAGTAACTTTCTGGAAACTGAGCTTTTGTAAGGGTCTTTGAATGCATAAGTGCCTCAAAGAGGAAAGTATGTGCTAAATTATGTGCTTGATGTTTGTTTAGTCTTTTGAAATAGAGTTTATTGTGTTAGTACTTTATTTGCTTTTTTTTAAAAAAAATCCTTTTGATGTTTTTGATTCTTTTACAGAAGGTAAGCTGCTCAGTTTCATGGAATAGAGTGATATAAAAGCCACAGTGAATAAACACATTTCTTTATATGTATAATATACAAGTGACCCAAGCAGTATTGATTGAAAATTTATTTTTGGAAAAATAAATTTAATTATTTAATTGTATTTATTTATTAAACTTTTAAGCCCCCCATCTCTGCCAGAGGTGACCTGACAACAGAAATGGCTATTCTTTTGTACAATAAAGATGAGTTACTTATGGCTATCTGGGTGATGTTGGACTCATAGTTTTGTTCAGATCAAAGTCAGCATGGTTAATGTCTAGAAATGTTGAGAACCAAAATCCTATAAAATTCAGAAGTTGCAGATTACCTATCTATGTCTTATAATACGGGTTACTTTATTAAAATGATTATGCGCTAATTAGAGAATGCTTGCTGCACTTCAAAAACTTAAGTTGCCTTGTTATACACATACTTTAAAAGGTGTTTCTGTCAGGGAATTTGAAATATTTTTTGTTTGGCCTTTATTAACATAGAAGACTACTGAATCAGAAAGTACTCTTACATTTTTATCTTTGGAACTTTGTTAATATATTTAGAAAAAATATTAAAGAAAAATATGATCAATCTTCAGTTTAATAAAAAATCTAGAAAATAAAAATCTAGAAAAATATAAGAAATATCCTCTTTTGGTTGCAGTTGGTGTCATCAGATGCCCAATTTGTCGCCAAGAATGCAGACAAATAGATTTGGTAGATAACTACTTTGTCAAAGATACATCTGAAGCACCAAGCAGCTCTGATGAGAAAACTGAACAGGTATGTCACTTCCAGCTTTTCCTCTTTGCAGCATAGTTTGATTTATATTCTGTGTGGGGTAATATGTTGTGCATTTGGTAATTTTGAGAATATGTCAAGATGTAAACATTTGAAGATAACATTTTTTCTTGATTCTAGGTATGCACCAGTTGTGATGACAATTCTAGTGCTGTTGGGTTCTGTGTGGAATGTGGAGAATGGCTTTGCAAAACCTGTATAGAAGCTCATCAACGTGTAAAATTTACAAAGGACCATATGATCAGAAAAAAAGAAGATGTCTCTTCAGGTGAAAATTTTAAAAATATTGATTGAGACATGTCATTTGCCTAAAATAATGAAAATCCATGATGTCATTTTCGTAAAAAGATTGAGGAACGTGTATGTAATCAACTTTAAAATACTATTGAATGTTTATACTGTGGATGGTTTTCTTCAGCTGGAATGTTTAGAGAGCATAGTACAAATTGCAATTACTATCTTATAATTTCATTTATATCGATATTTTATGCCAGTTTTTGGATGCTTTGGAGACAAAGAATTACAGCTACTCCTTGATTTATGACTGTTTGTTTAATGTTGGTTTGAAGTTACAATGGCCTTGGAAACTTACTATCCATCCTTGTAATCGGAATTTGAGCTTTTGACAAGCAGAGTCAATTCACCTTTGTCCAACAATCATGTATTTCACTTAATAACCACAGGGATTCACTTCACCACCACAGTAAAAATGGTCATAAAATTGGATCTGGTCATATGAAGATGCTTTAACTACTGCATTGCATAGTGACCAAAGTTGTCATAAGTTGAGGACTATCTCAAAAAGAGAAAAAAGTTGTAGTGGTAAGATGAGACAAGGTTGGTTAGTTTCGTAAATATGAGTAATGCTGGCCTATTTATAGCAAAAAATTATCACCGTATCGTTTTCTTAGGTATACAAATAAATGTGAAGACTCTTTTTGTCCCCATTTATTACAGTTGCTTTGGTTGGCTAAGTAATTAAATAGCTAGCCATGGGTTATTGCAACTAAGCTGTCCTTTAATCTAGATACTGTTTTGCTGAAAAGATGTTAGTTAGTGCTAGTATATTTTCTGAGAGAAGCAAACAGCTTAACAAGATGGTTCTTGTAATATTAAATGGAGGTCAATGAAGCATTTCAATCAGAAATAATGGTAAAACAACAGTCTTTAGCTAGCTTTTGTTGTCTGCATTACTAGTTATATGGGATTTGTTGGAATTTTGGTTTGTGCAGTGATTTGGATAGTCTGTCTCTTTCAACACAGAAGCTGTTGGAGCATCTGGTCAACGTCCTGTTTTTTGTCCTGTGCACAAACAAGAACAGTTAAAACTTTTCTGTGAAACCTGTGACAGGCTGACGTGCAGAGATTGTCAGTTACTGGAACACAAAGAACATAGGTATAGTTGTCTGTGTCTTCCTAATGAACCTTTTCTTATATAGATAACTTTGAAAAATAATCCTCAAATATATTTAAAGTCTTCTTTCCTTTTGCTTTTATGAAAAATAGGCTTGTAGTAATTCAGCTTTTTGTTTCTAATCCTGATATAGTTAGATTATGTGACAATTAAAAATAAGTAGGCATCTAAATAAAAAAGTTTTTGTCAATGTAATCATGACTTTTAATTGTTAACTTTATATATGCTTGTACATTAGTAAAGCAATGTTCTTTGATTTTAGATGATACCTGAAGCAGGTGCCATTTTAGAAAGAAACATTCCCTCCGGTATGGAGGTGGTGGGTGGGAGGAAGGAAGGAAATGTCTCTTCTAAGTTAGTGCCAGTGCTTTTGGTTCTTGTAAGTACACTTGTCTAAAAAATATTTTTTTCTAAACTATATTGCCTAATTAACCAGAAGTTTTTTAACATATCAGAATTTCATAAATAGTTTAAAGTTGCATCACTAAAATTGCAATACTAAACTTCAGAGATATTTGCAGCTTCTTTTGCATTGTCATTTTTTAGATCAGCATTAATAAATTGAATAAAATAAGGATAACAACAAATTTTAATGGTAGTTTAGCTACAAAACTTTCATTATATGATTTAGGTCTGTGGAGCACATTGGATCCTGAGGGAAAAATGTATTTTGGAATACATATAGATATGCACAAATATGTATTTTCCCTGGATTCATTCTGAACTTTGGAGGTTAGCAGCACTATGCCAGGAATAGATGCTTTAATTGTTGCTGACAGATGCTTTGTGAGCACCTCCATATACTCTGAGGCATCTTCCTCATTCAAAACAGAAGTACAGCTCCAGTATGATCTTGAACTGATTAAGAAAATTGCTGGAAGAAGTTACATTTCATAAATGCTGAATTATTACCTGCTAAGTTGCTATTGGAATCAGCAATGATACTGCTGATATTTTAACAACAGTTGAACTAATCTTTGAATTCAGTACATAGATTATAGCAAAGGTTACTTTTTAATTGTTTTTAAAACTGTTTTAAAGAGAGATATAGTGGTAATTATTAGTTCTAACAAGTTCAATTTTGTTGAATGGACAGAATATAACTTTTGTGTAGAAACTGTGTTCAAGTCTTGTGAAAAACCAAGGCAAATTCTGTTTGAATTGCAGATTTGGAAGTCTTATGTACTTTATCAGTTTACCCAGTTTATGTCATTTTTGTCCGTGATGTCTGTGTATAAATGAACAGATAGCATAAAAATATGGGAAGCATTCTTCCTTCTCCTCCTTTCTTAACTTGTGTTAGGTAGTTACTAGCACTAGTAAAGATATAAATAGCAATATATTCTTATATGTTTATATATGAAAATATCTTTAATGGTTTACATCCACGCTAGATCTTTCTATTTTTCTTTCTTTATTACCTAAAATGGTTAAAGACATTAAATTATTTTAATTCCCATATGTTTTTAAAATAATATATTGTCTGTCATTAAAATACTTCGGCAATCTGGGTTTAGCATAGCGTAAATAATAGATATGTACCATATTAAGTAATCTACCTTAAACTAAATTAACTTAGTTTATCTAGAATATTTAAGTACTATTAGTAAAGTTGAAATAGCAATAGGGAAAATGTAGTGGATTTCTTTTTGATGGACTATTGGCAATAGTACAACTGTTTTATCAGATACTGATTATAATCTGGATGAGCACAATAGAAAGATTTGTGTGGTGTGTATTCTGATAATAAAAGGAGACAATGTGTCTTCTTCAGAGTTCTTATTTATCTTTCCCAATTAAATGTGTATAAAAATTATCTCAATGTATTAGAAGCAGACAAGATTATCATCAGTCTGCAAAAACATATCTATTTTCATATGTCTGCCTCTGGATATCATATATGAACTGTTTTGATAAAATGCCAGAATACAATAAAGTTCTCACATTGTTTAGAAACTTAATCTCTTGGAGATAAACTATTTTGAGACATCAGACAAGCTAGGGTATGATTCTGATGACTTAGAGATGCATCTGTTCATACACAATAAAAATTTGTTGGTAATGTCTAAATTTAAAAGGGTTTTTAAAATACCTCTACGTATATGGTAGTATACCTTTTTATTAATAAAATGTAATAATACTCTGACCCTTCATAGTATGTGTGTTGTATTTTCTGGTTTTGGAAGGTATCAGTTTTTGGAAGAGGCATTTCAAAATCAAAAAGGTGTTATTGAGAATCTCCTAGCCAAACTCCTTGAAAAGAAGAATTATGTTAATTTTGCAGCTACTCAAGTACAAAATAGGTAAGTAACAGTTTCATTAAAAGAGCTGATCTTTTATTTAAATTGAGCAAATTATTAAAATTTCAATATCACATTGCTTTCCTTAAAAGTTAAGCAGTTGGTAACAGTGATAACCAAGTTTCGATGAAGAGAAACTTCTATAGTGGATCCACTATACCAGCTGCATAAAAGAACACAAATAATCATGTAGAAGCTTTTGCACAAATGTTTATTTTTAGGGATATTTAACTATTTTGATGTTTCAATCTCAGGTGAAATAATTTAGTGCTTTTTTCCTCATTTTAAAAGTCATTGTAAGGCATTGCAAAGAGGAGTCAAGAAATGTTGGCTCACTTAACAGCCATTTAAAATTTTACTTGTCAGAGTTTTCTTGAGGCAATGAAAATATGGTACATCTGCTTGCAGTGATCTGTATAGCAGATCAAGAGATCCATAAATGCCATTAAAATATTAAACATTTTATTATATTTAACACATCTAGTAAACATAGTATACTAAATACAAATCCTCCTGCATTGTTTGATCTTTATCTTTTTTGTAGTTTGTTATCATTGGCTGTCAGTGGCCTTCTTATGATCAAAGTCTGCCATAGAAAATCCATCTAGATTTTCTTTAGTTTGTTGCAGCCTGTGGGAAAGAATTAACCAATATATAAGCATTGTCCATGAGATTCCTATAGAAGTGATTTTGTGATAATCTGCCAGGGTGAGAATAATTGCAATTTGCATAAAGCGCAGTATGCTTTTTTCAAAAGACATCTGGACTTACTTGGTTTTTTCTTTGAAAACGTTTCACTTCTCATCCAAGAAGCTTCTTTAGTTCTTCAAAATATTTTCAGAGAAAAAAAGCAAGAAAGTCCAATTGTCTTTTGGAAAAAGCACCTTTGGGGCAATCATTATCTGAATGATTGAGAATCTCAGTAGATAGTCATTGTGTACCTTTGTTTATATTTGATTCTTATTTTAGACAAAAATCTCATTGAATGTCCTAATTTTACCTCACTATGATACTAACACATCAATTAATATCCAGACATAATTGACATACAATTCTGTTCTGATAGAATTCCCCTCTCCCTGCTCCAGATGGTGGAAATGAATAGACAGAGAAAGGAATAATAAGATGAGGGAATCAAAAATTGATTTTTTATTTTATCAGAGTCTCAAAATCAGCTAGCTGGAGTTTATTGCAGGATGAAGATTGGGGAAGCAAACCAATCACATAATGGCAGTTTTATTTTCGGACGTTCTAACTTCATGGATATGTAATTCACATTTAAGTTACTATAGTTTAGAAAATATAACATAGCACCCTCTGTTACATCTTTGTTATTGATTTGTGCATTTGAGATTCATATAGTTTGAGTCATCTGTGTGTTTGTAACTTGTTTTTTCAGATCAGAATTTCATTTATCAAATAAAAGGAGCATTTTGTTATTTATGACAGGATCCATTCCTTTTTCTGTTTGTAGTTCATTTACTTGTGCATTACTTTTAATAAAACCCAATCAGAACAGTTACCTGTTGTGAAAGGAAAGTAAGAACAGCTAGCTAGGTGAAATAGCTGGGGATTTTATAGTGATAAATGATTTTTAGTTAAGTTTTACTGTTTTCTTACTAATGTAGGAAATCAACAGAAGTGCTATCCTTTACAACATGTAAAATACTTTTTTTAAAACCCAGGAGCAGATTTAAATTCAGAAAAATGCTTTATAGTGTAATAAAAAGAACCTTAAAATTATAATTAATAGTTGTGATGTTTAATGCTATCTTTATTTAAGATAATGATATTTTGTATGAATCTGCATCAGTTTAAATGTTGAGTTTTCATTTGTGTGGGAGAAAAAATCATGCTGAAGATGTTGTAATGTAAGTGCCTGATGACAGATTTCTCTCTTTTCAGGATAAAAGAAGTAAATGAAACTAACAAACGAGTAGAACAGGAAATCAAAGTGGCTATTTTTACCCTCATTAATGAAATCAATAAAAAGGGAAAATCTCTCTTACAACAGCTTGAGGTACAATTAAATTTAAAAGTGAACATAATGTGGGTGTTGATGTGTATTATTATTTTGATTTAAATGAGCTTTTAATAGCTCTTTCCTTGATATACCCTGTCATTGCAACACACTTTCAGTTTTTATTTCTTTCCATTTTAATCTGGTCATAGGAAGATCAGAAGCATCTATTTTCACTTTAATTTAGTGTATAGTTTCTCCAAAGAAGTTTAGAGTTGAATTAGTTTATAAGTGTAGCATATAAACAGTAGTTTAATTCAATCTATGCAAGGTTTAAGATATTTGTTTTTCCCCTTAAGATTCAGTCTCCACCCTAAGGTTGAAAATGTTAGTCTATCTATTCTAGTGGATTACGTGCTCTGAAATCCACAAAAGGGGTTCTGGCAAATGACCACTCTTGATCTAAATCATAGCGTGGTATCTTTAGTTTTGGTTTAGTACCATTCGGGCATAGTTAGCAGCGAGAAAAGTTCAGGCTAACTTGGTGAACTAAACTGAATATGAGAGTAGGAATGCAAAGAATATAAACATGCATCTATTGTCAGTCAACACTAGAAGGGCTAAAGACAGGAGGAAATCCATTTTCCTTCTTTAAAGAGGGTGGAGCTGGACAATATTGGGAAAGGTTTGAGATCTGCCTAGATAGAAATTCTAAACTACCATTCCCATTTACTCAGAAACTGCTGCTGGTTGTGATTCTCATAGTCTTTGTGGGAATCTGACAAGAACATTATATGAACCCATCCAGTTGTAACATAAAAAAAACATAGTTAAATGTAGTAATATGATATATAACATAACACATAATATTAACCTCTTCCTTAGTGTAGTTTGGATGTCTCCCTTTCTCATTATGGAAATAGTTTTCATTCATTAGCTATCCTGTTTCTATATCTGCCGAGCCTTATTCAAGAACAAGCTATTGGTTGGAACTGTACACTAATGCAGGTGCTGAAGAGTTACACCACCAATCCATTTGCTCTATCCACTATAGCAGTTGCCTTATTCAGAATATTTTTATTTTCTCTTTTTGAATGTGATTGTGCTGAGCTCTTTTTCATTTAATTTTTACTCAGATTTAACATAAAGTTCAATTTCTTCTTCATTATGGTCCATGTATTTATGTTACGTTTCATTTTTTTTATCTTCTATATCAGTGGTGGCGAACCTATGGCACGGGTGCCAGAGGCAGCACTCAGAGCGCTCTCTGTGGGCACGCGCATCGTCGCCCCAGTCCTAGGCCTTCAGCTGGGTTTTATAAAACCTTTTCACTTTAGGCCTCCGCCACCGTGTGCAAAAAAAAAAAAAAAGGTTCAATCAATCAGTCAATTTCAACTTCTCGCAGGAAAAAAAAAGATCTTGGAAAGTTGGAATTGATTGATTGAACTTTTTAGTCCCACCCAGTCTGCCGTTACCACCGCAGCCACGCCCACTCAATGGGCCACACCGACCCAATTGGCCACACCCAGCCAATGGGCCATACCCACACGGCACCCGATGATGCATAAGTGGGTTTTGGGTTGCAGTTTGGGCACTCAGTCTCTAAAAGGTTCGCCATCACTGTTCTATATATATCCTTAGTCTTGACTGTGACTTCAGGGGCCACACTTAGAAAATCTATTATTGTGAGAATATATTGCCTCTTACAAGGCAAGGATTATTACAAAGGTGATTCCTGTTGTTTTTGCCAGTTATTTTAGAATAGGCTTATTATAACATATCACCCAGACTTCATATGTTTGAGGAATATTTTAAGATGTGAATGTGATAGTTGTCAGTGCAAGCATTTATACATTTACTATCTTTACTCAATGTTAAATAAATTGCAGTTAATAAACTTATACAGGACCTGATCTGGTCTGGTCTGGTCTGGTCTCATTGTTTCACTAATTGCCAGATCCCTTGTCACTATGTTATTGATAAATGAATCTAGATTAAGGGGGCTGCTGATCTTAGTATAAGAAAAGACTTCAGATTGCTACTATCATAAAACGTTGTGGTAAAACCCTATTATCCATATCTTTGACTTCCAAGAAATTGGAGACAATGTCTGAATTCAGAGAAATAGTTATGAAGTATATTTTTAATCATTTTAATCAACTCCTTCATTACTGAATTTGCTCAGTTAAAAAAAAGGTGAAAAAAGGCAGGAATTAAATTCAAGATATGTTCATTGCTACATCCCTACTGATTTATTTATTTTTCTAATATCAGCATTTCTATTAGAGAAAATGAACCGGGAATGAGCATTTCCAGAAAGCAAAGTGCTATGTTAAGGTGTTTGTAAAGTAATGCCATGACGTCTGTTAAGCAACTTAAGCAACAAATTAATGCAGAGCGGCAGCATATAAATTTAATGAATAAATAATAATTCAGGTCCTGGAACAAATATTTCTAAAGTACTCTAACTTCTTGATACTGTTTCTTCTGACATCTCTTTTTGAACTTCAAGGCATTTTGTGAACTATTAGGAGTGCATTTGGCCTTTGAAAGGCATAGCAGAGACAGGGAAAAAAGGGCAAAGCCAGAACAATTACTAACATCGGATTTAGCTGATTTGATTTAAATTTAAAATATGATTTCTCCCTATATGATTAATAATTTTCATATTATTCCACTTTAAATATTACAATTTAATAGAAACGTAGAATTAAAAGGGGCTTCATGTCATTTTTTTTTCTGTCACTAGTGTCTTAGCCGCTTAACACCTTTGGTGATTCATACAAATACTTCTGCTGATTCTTGGATTTTTGAAGTTGTCTGGAAACTTCTTAGACAATTGTACCTTTCTTCCTCTTTTGGAAGACATCTCTGCTCTACTGGGCAAAGAAGTGATAGGGGAGGGTTATTGTGATTAACTGGTACAGTTCTTTAACATTTTTCACTTTTCTCCAAAAAGTGATGTGTCATGTTAAGTCTTCAGGATGTCAGAATTGTTATTACCTCGAAAGCAAATATTCTGTCATCATGCATGCTGAAATCTTGTTTATTTATCAGAAATAAAGTTGCTTTTAAGTCAATCCCAGCTCCTGGTGACTTTAGGGATACATTGATTCAGTTTTCTTGGCAATAAGATGGTTTGCCACTGCCTGCTTCTGGAATATCTTTTTAGCTTCCTAGTCTTGTCTGCTGTAGCTTTGAAATTCCTGGCAGGGTCCCATCTAGGAACTAACTAAGCCCAGCCCTATTTAGGTTTCAAGTCAAAATCAACTAAGTGTTGCCACCTGCTAAGATATTTATTATAACATATTTTAAAAATTGTTTATCTTCAGTTAAATAGCAATCATACCAAACCACACTTCTCATTGATAGCATTTTTACATTCTTATGCATGTTAACATAAAAGCTAATGAAAGCTCTTGGGAAACTTCCCCCATCAATTCAGGTTCCTAAACTTAGTTGAAATTTATCAATGATTCTTGCAGAATTTTCATTATTACTTGAACTTTAAATGACCTCTCACTTTTATCTTTCTTAGTGACAATCACATCAACCTGACAAACTTTATATTTTGTGTATTGATGATCTATAAAATTCCACAAAAGAGTGCTTTGACCAGATTTAAATCTTGTGAAAAATACTTTTTAAAAAAAATTCCATCTCCTTACCATTTAATTGAATCCACTTGCTGACCACTCATGTATGTAACACAGAAATCATTGGGAAGAACAGGTTACTTACTTGCAGCTGCAGTTGTAGTAATCTGTTCTTTTCTTGTTGTTAGTGTCAGTTGGCACAGTTTCTGAAATTTCTCAATGAGGGCCTGCCAAATATACTCAACTGTACAGTGTTTCTTCTTGCGGTTTGATGTAGAACCCTAACTGAATAAAACAATGTGTAATCAAAAACCCATAGTTACAGGTAAGCAACCTGATTTTCCTATCTAAAACTGTTTACATAATTGTAAACATTCATTCTAGAAGAAAGTAAAGGAACCAGTTGCAGAAGCCACTTGACTGTAACTCTAATATTGCTTCTTTCTTGTGAAATTTTATTAAAATCTTTGCCTGTGTTACATGCAATATGATTCATTTCAGATCTCTTACTAGTAATATTTTGCTTTTTTGGATTGAAGTTTTCTGATTATATCTTCTTTTATTTTTAAAGCTGCTCATGCAACCTCGCCCCCCCCCCAAGTCTGGTTGAAACATCTTCTGCAATATTGAAAGATAGATTAGAGCAATGTTAGAAATGATGTGCTAAGTTTACAGTAATTTATTCTATAACCATATTCTGTCAGTAGAATTTTAAAGTTGAAGCTAGAAGGCCATCTATTAGTGCATTAATCTTTGTACTTTGTACTACATTTCTTTCCCTCAATCTAATACCCTAATGTGTTGGATCACAAGTTCTGGAATTCTAATAGAAAACCATAATACTTAGACAGGATCAGAAACTAGACTAGATCATTTTGAATAAAATCTCTTTCAATACATTAGTAAAATAATTGTAGAAAACAAATATTGAGCAGAAGATAAATGAGAAAGAAAGCAATGGTTAATATTATGCTGAATGATAAACACTTTTAGAGACGGGTAGAGTAACAGTCACAGTTATGATTTTTCATACCGTAGTGTCATTGGGTTTGAGTTTCATGAGAAAATGTTGAGATTTGTTTAATTTAGACACAACAGTGGAAAATGTTACTTATATTGTAAGGTTGCAGCTTCTGAAAAATGACTTGAAATACTGTAGGATTTTGATGTCACAAAAGTAACTTACTCTTTCCACTGAGAAATCATATTTCTGTTCCATGGTATCTACCATTGTATTTCCCAGACACATGGTGTACCCAATTCCTCTTTTAATTTTAATATGATTTTCTGTTTTAATTAAGAAATATCATTATAAAGCCTATAAAACAATTACTGAACTTGTTTTTAAATAAGATATTATAATCACTTGAGGATGCTTGTTATATTCATTGCTTAGCAATTGACACGTACAAAATTTATTCAAATTCTGTCAAAATACAGGTGAAAGATTTAGCCCTAAAAAAAGCATTTTCCTAAAGCAGAATAGGTATAATGAAATTCATAGTGTAATAATCTTTAATATACTTTGAGCATTTATTAGGTGGCAGAACTATATACATTTCAAATATAAAACAGTAGAGCTGTAAGTAGATAGTGTTATTAGATAATGAGACTGATGAGAAAGAGTGGGTATTTGTAACTAAAATAAAAAGAACAGCTGTATTTTGTTGCATAAAACTAATATTATTACCTCCAAATTTTAGAGTTGGGGCTTAATTGTTTCATTCATGTCACTGTTACTATCTGTGGGAGTTTGCCTGGTGGACTTGATTTGTTAGTGGTCTCTATCAAAATATTTTGAAATGACATAACAATGGGATTTGCTGTTTAAAGAAAGTTAAAATCTCTGAGACCCACAATAATGTTTGGATAACATTATTTTTGAGAATAAGTGGTATCATTTTGAAATAGAGATCTTAAAAGACAATACTGAAAACTGCATAATCAGAAGACAGATGGAGTGGAGCTTGTCTAAATTTGATCAGTGTTTGGATGAAAGGTGGGTTAGTTTGAGGTTGGTTTTAAAAGAAAGTGGCTATAAGTGCAATAAATAACATTAAGGCACACAAAGCCACAATTTTAACTCAATTACAATTACAATCTTGTCTTGCAGGTGAATCTAATTTAGGACTATTGCCTTTGGAAAACATAATTGTTAAATTGCACATAACATAGATTTCCGTGCTGCAATACTTTTTTAAAAAGCTTTGTATTATTATTATTAGAACACATAATCTCGCAGTGCTTGCTAGATGTCAACATTGTGATAAGAGGCTTTATTATTGCTATTGTGTATTTTTAATTGATTCAATATGTATGCATTCTCTCTGTTCAGACTGTGACAAAGGAGAGACAGATGAAGTTAATACAACAACAGAATGATATCAGTGGTTTATCAAGACAGGTGAAGCATGTGATGACATTCACTAATTGGGCCATTGCAAGTGGCAGCAGCACTGCATTGCTCTATAGCAAGCGACTGGTAAGAAAAATAAGATTTTATATTTGCAGTTTGGCTATAAATTCTATTATTGCAATAAAACAACAATCTTTATTTTGAAAATCTGTATTTTTCTTATTCTCTAGTCTTTAAAAAAATTGTTTGTTTTTCACATTTTTTTAACATATTACTTTGTATTTCAATTGTTGATATATTTGGTTTATCAAAGCCAAACTGTAAAATCATAATCTAGGATGTTAGAGGTTTTAAATGCTGAAATGGGATGATATTCTCTTTCTAGCAATTATATTTTCTCATCTGTAACCTATTCCCAAAGCAATTCAAGATTATTAATACAGGGTAGCCAAATGGTATATTGGTCAGGTGATATGTTTTATTTAACATTTATTTTGTAATGGAACGTTTAGTAATGGTAAAGAAACTGAAAAAACCCAATATATATAAAATGTCAGTATTGTTTTCAGAACAGAAGAAAAAAATCGTGTTATTTCTTTATTCTCAGATTAAACAGTGAGACTGGAGGTTTACTAAAGGCAAGAAAAATGCCATAATAAATCCAGAGTTATACAGATACCGTGTTTCTTTGAAAGTAAGGCTTACTCTGAAAATAAGCCCTAGCTTGATTGGGGGGACTAATATAAGCCCTACCCCCCAAATAAGCCCTAGTTTTGGGGCAAAGCACACACCTAAAAATCAAGCTGGAGTGGGGGTGTGGAGCTGCCTCACGCGCCCCACACCCACTTACTTTGCAGCCAGGCCTCTCCTTGCTGGCCTATTTCTTCTGCAGTGTCTTCTGCAGCCAGACCTGCATTTCTCAGTCACACGCCTTTCCGGAAGGCCACTGCAGCTGACAACCGAGCTATGGATTCAGTCCATAGCTCAGTTTTGCAAGTTCTCTGCAGCTGAGAACTGAGCTATGGATTGAATCCATAGCTTGGTACTCGGCTGCAGTGGCCTTCCAGAAAGGGCTGACTGCAAAATGCAGGCCAGAGTCCATTCCCACTTGCAGAATGAAGCTGCTCCTTCGGCCACAGAAGAAGTGGGCCAGCTGAGCAGGGCTGTCGGTGCCGGAGATGAGTATAAAAAACCCCTCTCCCCCAAAATAAGACCTAGTGCCTCTTTTGGAGGCAAAACAAAACAAAACACCTGGTCTTATTTTTGAGGAAACACGGTACTTGCAGAACAAATTTTCTTTCACTATCTGAATTAGATTTGAAGGTGCATAGAGAGTTACAGAATGGATGGGGGTTTATCAGTAGTATCTCTTGATAGAAAGATACATCTGTGCATCTAGAATGGGAGGGGTCCTTGGTGTTCTCTGAACATGTTGTCTTACACAGTTTCATTACCCAAACTAGATAACATCATCAGTACTAGTCACCGCTTCCAGAAGTGATTAATGCTCCAACACTGGAAGTTTTTAAGAACAGATTGGACAACCATTTGTCTGAAATGATATAGGGTTTCCTGCCTGAGCAGGGGGTTGGACTAGATGACCTCCAAGGTCCCTTACAACTTTATTGTTATTGTTATTAGCTCTGGCCCTGATGATGTTACCTAGTTTGAGTAATGAACCATCTGTAAGAAAACAACCAAGCTCAGAGAGCACCAAGGACCTCTCATTTCAACCTTGCGCTACAAATATTCTCCTTTATTAATCTGATTCTAGAATGTATTGGTATTTGATTGAACATTCTGCTCAATTATATGTGTGCATTAGAGTGATGGTTTACAAGGTATTCTTAGAGATCCTAGTTTGCAAATAGTATGTTAAAATAATTGGGTAAAATTGAATCTTGATTAAGATTGTGGCTCACTAGCCAAAATGAGCCCATGTGATTGGTATTGTTAAGAAATGTTGCGTACTTTGCTCATTCTTTATCTTCCTAAAATGTGTTTTATGAAGGCCTCAGCTGACTGAAGCCATGTGGGCCATAAGAGGTCAATATCTGTAGGTTGTATGTTGACTACCATGGTGTTTGGAATATGGCACCTTTGAATATGAAGAGAATATATGATAATGAGCATGAATTAATTATTGAAAAAAAATAAAAATAGATATATGTTACATCTTTGTAAAACCCTAGGGAGCATGTAGTGGGGTTTAATGGCAATTTGAGCTTATGGGATGAAGTTGACGAATACACACATGGAATTGAAATTATTTAATTTTGAATGATCTGGAGGAAGGTTTTCTGTAACATGGTTGAATGGAGATGGAATGACAGTATACAAAGAATGCTTAGGCTATACAAAAACCCAAAATGGATGGAAATGGTGATTATTTAGTATCTGCTTAGGAAGATATCTATTAATTTCAAATACATGGTTGAAGTTTGAATTTGGTTGTGCATAATGTATCAAAGAAATAAATAAAAAAAGCTTTATTTGGTTGGTTAGGATGAAAGATTATAAAGGATAGAAGGTTGCTGAAACCTGAATGTAAGAAGGCTATTTTTATCAGTATAATGTAAAAAAGAAAAAAAAATAGAGTGTAAGGAAGGTTAGAGTTAGGAAAATTAAATTAGGAATTTTATTTACATTATTTGACAATGCATTATGTTATAAAGTGCCACAGAAATGCTGTAGTTACACTAATAGGAAGCATGAGATGATGCAGTGAAAAAGGTTATGAATGAGGAAATTTTTATAAGAGAAAGACTGCTGCAAATAATGAGAGAAAGATACTGAATTATGGGCATAGAGAAAAAAGATGACTGTAAGGTATAATTAAAGATAGCATGGAATAATTATGATTAAAAGAGTTAGAAAATGAAGAGTGGTCTTGATTGAAATAAAAATTGGTTTGGAAGTAGGTGAAAAGGACTGAACAAGGTTCTTCAGCAGGATGAACAGAATTAAATGATTTGGCATGAAACCAAGTTTGGAAATGCTGGATGGAGTATTTTAGTCTCTTATGAGACTAAAAGTGGTATATCAAAGATAATGATGATTATCTTTGCTTTGTTTCCAAAAAGAATTCCAATGCAAATGGGATTTTCTGTTTATGCCTAATTTGTTTAGCTCCTCATTGACGGAGAAGAGGCTGTGGAAGGAGAGCCGGAGAGCCCAGCAGGCAGGGAGGAAAAAGAGGGGCGAAGAAGCTGTGGAAGGAGAGCCCAGCAGGCAGGGAGGAAAAAGAGAGAGGGGAGAAGAAACTATGGAAGGAGATCCCAGAAGGCAGGGAGGAAAAAGAGGGGTGAAGAAGCTGTGGAAGGAGAGTCCAGCAGGCAGGGAGGAAAAAGAGAGAGTGGAGAAGAGGCTGTGTGGAAGGAGATCCCAGCAAGCAGGGAGGGAAAAAAGTGAGGAGAGGAAGAGAGGAAGAAGGACCACCAGCCAGCTGACCCATCCATATTAATAACTATGGATAAATTCATCATACATTTGTCAATGCAAAGGGAAAGGGATTCAGCAAAGGAACCGCCACCGAAGAAATTAAAACCGGTACTTTTCCCCTTTTTTATGGTTCGTAACATTTTATTAGATTATAGAATAAAATACAAAAATACAAAAGCAAATAGTAGGACACAGTGGGGAGGAAAAAGGGAAAAAAGTGAGGGTGAGAAGGGAAAAAAAAGGCATTGACTTCCGACTTCCTCTGCTGCAGTAGTAGAATGAAGCATTAACATCGAACCTCAACTTTTTACTTTTCCATAATAGTATAAACTAGCCATTTCTATAACATCAAATCAATCTAATCAGTAAACCCCCCCCTTTTTTTAGTCATCAAGTTTTTGACACCTTGCTAAGCACTGGTGGTACTCAAATATTGTCATGTCCTATAAGTGGTATCTGTGAAAAGGTTGAAAAGCCCTGCTCTAATTATTCCAGTTTTTAAGATGATTTTCATTACTGAGATATTAAATTGTGTTAAGGTATCAGGGATATACTGTATAAATGAAAAAAAAACTTAGGGAACAGTTGTCTGAATTGTGTAGCATGTGTGAGAAAATTCATCTATGCATGACACCTGAAAGAGTGCTGTTATTCCCTTACAAAAAGGGAGAGGTAGTGTTTATGGATTAATTTTTTAAGCTTGCTGGATAAAAAATGGGAGCAAATAATTGAAATTGGTAGAATGTTTGCTAAGGATAAGAAAATGGATGGGGAAGTTTTAAGATGTGCAAATGCAGGTAGAAAGATAGTATATTTTCATATAAGTGAAAATATTTGTGTGTAGGAGTGCACATTCATCCACTTCATCCATTCAAAGTAAAAGTTGGGTACGTCAGATGAAATATATAAGTGAGTTGAATGCAATGGGAATGAGTTACTTAAGTGGCCTATGTGGTAAAACAGGAATGTATGAATGAAGAATAAACATAGATTTAGTACAAAAATGAGCAGAGTGGTTTGTTTCTTATACAAGAGAAGGAAGATTGAATCTCAGAACAAATATATGAACAAAAATGAGTAGGTTGGAAGGGAAGGGAAAATGGAGAAACAGGTAGCTGTCTAGAATTTATGAGATCCTCAAAAAAAGAAAGAGTAAGAAGTATAAAAAAGGAGTATAAAAACTGTATGGAAGCAAGCTGGTTTATAAGGATATGGAGAAGAACAGCGAATAGTGTTGGTATAATCTAGATTTAATTAGATTCAGTTTTTATTATCTTTGGCCTTTAATTTATTTTTCTAATTACTGCTTCCCCCCCTACACTTATATAATGTTGCTTATTCAAGAAGGGAATAATAGTATTGGTGATGAATGGAACTAACTTGTTGCAATGAAAGGGTGGTTTTTAAAAACATACTACCTGCCCTTTTTTAAAGTCATATCTCTCATAGTTATTAATTAAAAATAAGAGTAAAGTATAGCATATGTACTGAGCATATTTTTTTGCTCATCCAGGATTTTTCGTGGGATAATCTATTCAAAATTACCTGATTATTTTTGATACAAAGTAGTTTAGTTTCATTGATTATCTATTTTTGAACATGGGTACAATTCAAGTTTTACAAAATATTTTTTCAAATATTTTATTAATTTAAAAAGCATGTGAAAGTTATTGTTTGAAACTAAATCCTCTTATCTGTATTCTTTAACATTATGGATATTTATTTTCTTGTGATAAATCAAGAAATCCTTTCATCAGAGTATATAAAGTGGAAATTTAGCTTATCTTGCAATATAAATAAGAAAAGAGTGAATTTTTCAATGTCACTCGTTTGCAAATAGCTTACTTTTAATTTCTTTTTATGCTTTGCATAACAGTAATGTGAGATTATTTGCTTTGCAGATCACTTTCCAGCTGCGACATATTTTGAAAGCACGGTGTGATCCTGTTCCAGCTGCTAATGGAGCAATTCGCTTTCATTGTGATCCCACATTTTGGGCAAAGAATGTAGTCAACCTAGGTAGAGCTTTTCATATTTCTGACAGATTTAATGTGTAAAAAATTGTAATTATAAATGGCATGTTCTTTATAATGTTCCTTATAGGAGACTTCCAGTAAAATAAGGTTTGTTACTGGAGCTGTTCATATGGGAACCAATATGCCTTCTTTAAGATTGAAGCTATCCTCCGGGAGAATGTTCAGAGGTTCTCTGCACGATGACAGTTGATATACACATGATGAAGTGTAACTTATTTATGTAGGTCTGGATTTAAACTAGTGATACAAATGCAACCACAACCCAGATATGTTTCTTTTTCTACCCTGTTTGCTTGCTTTTCTTCATGTAATTTCTTGTTACAAAAATACTTTCCTTTATAATAAATCTTCATTCATGTGGTAATTGACCCTTCTTAATAATAGATAGCAGTGTTTTTCAGAGAAATGCACTGTGAAATGAGATATACAGCATAGTAGTGGCAAAGGGGCATGACAATTGTAAAAGAAGAGAGTGAGTACAGACATGTTATTTGGAAAATATTATTCTATACGGAGTGGTGTATTACATAATTGTGTGGTCACTGTCTTTTACTTCTAAGAATATTAAAAAGACAAGTGTTATTATTATTATAATTACAGTTGGAAAACTCAGAAGCGTAACAATGGGGCTACCTACAAATGTATCAAGAGCTTTCATATTCTAAAAAATAATCAAAAGTCAGATTCAAAATAACCCCAAACTATTTTACTTGGAACAGGCAGAAACTTTGTCTTCCTTTCTTGTCTCCCCCCCTCCCCCCCACCAAACAAGGATATAAAATGCAAGGTTTACAGGAGCAGATGCTCTCTCTTTCAAAACGAATGTTCTTTATTGTTCCTTTCTTTGCAACCCTTGTGTGTCCAGTGTAAACTCTGGAGTAATGGGGTGGAGACTCTTACAAATATTCTTTCAATAAATTGGTGATTGAGCAGAAAGTATGAGATTGTTGGCATAGAGACATTATAATTTCCAGTGAAAAGAAAAATCCAGGGGAAATCAAAAGTCTTGCCTTCCATTATAGCCCTTGCATTTTTCTATATGTAAAAAAAAATAAAAAATAAAAATAAAAACACATTGGTCCATGTACTGTATTTCATTTATATCTTCTCAACATGTATCAAATAATATATTTCTATTTCTTATAGTGAAATAGATCCCATTGAGAATACATTTAGATTTAATAAATAAGAACTAATAGTCAACATCTAAATTAGAAACAGCCTTGTGGGTATGTACAAAGGCTTACATGTCCATACCAGGTTTTTCCCATGTTCTTCTCCACCAGCAGCACCTCTTACTCTGTTGGAGGCCACTTTTGAGGTTCCCAAACTTCAGGGTAGTGTGAGAGGATGCTTCTGGAAAGGGGGAGATACCCAAACTCCCTGTTACATGTGCAGAGCTCATCATATGGTCCTTTGGAATGGGAATGTACATTGGGAACTGAAAAGGTATTGCAAATGAAATATTATAAAACTGTTTGAAAAGATCCTAGAGGGTGCAGAAATGTTTAAACTGTATTTTATTTTATTGAAATAAATATTTAAGTACAATTTTTGATAAATACACATGACAATAATAAAATGCCTGGGTTAAAACTGAGATGACATTGGATATCATTGTCAGATTCTTAAGCAACAATAATCTTTTAGAGAAGGAACAGAATCTTCCATTTTGATCATTGGTAGTAGAGAGCAAGAATAGAGTATTTTTTAAAAAGAATTATGGCCACTGTTCTGGAGAAAATAATATTTCTTATTTTATACAAGAACAAACTAGTACTAAATAGGGCTGTGCAATAAATCAGATTTAGCTTCAACTGTAGGGGCAGCCATGCAATTCTGGGAAAGATGCAGCTGCTATAAAGAATTGCAGGGAAGTATCTTTTTGTAATCAAATTGAAATACTGATAATATTAAAATATATCAGAATAGCAAGAAGAAGAAAAAATGGTTCATCAAAGAATATTCAAAATAGGGGTTTTCATATATTGTATAATCCTGAGAATAACTCAGAGACCATGCTTTATGCCAGCGACTACAAGTGTTAATGAGATTTTGCTGTTGTAATTAAAACTACATCCATAATTTTCTCCCTTTTTAATTTTTTCAGTAATAAATATCTTTTAGGACTTAAGTGAAAAAAAATCTAATTACATATTATACAAGAGGTAAAAAAATTTCTGCAGCTAACGATCAAAGTGTATGGAAAATCACATGTATATTGAAACGAGGTGCTACTTTTTGAGGAAAATGTTCCATTGAACTTAGTTTGATCAAAATAAATAATGCAGATACATTAAAATTCACATCTTATATATCCATTAAGTACAAATATGACTGAATTTTTTAACATAAAAAAATACATGAAGTCTTTTTTACTCTCTGAGCTTGGCTGTTTGCTTGCAGACATTTCATTACTCAACTAGGTAACATTAATAATATCATTTAGTTGGGTAATGAAATACCTGAAAGCAAATAACCAGGTTAAGAAAGCATCAGGGACTCCATAGTTCAACCCCAAGCTGCATGCGTTGTCTTCTAGTCCAGGGGTCCCCAACCCCGGTCCGTGGAGCAGAACCAGGCTATGGCATGCCAGCAACCGGGCCGCACAAACAAGCAAAGCCCCATCCGCGAGATGCAGGCAGCACACAAAACCACACACCCTCTGGTCTGTGGAAAAACCTCTCTCCACCGAACCGGTCCCTGGTGCCCCAAAGGTTGGGGACCTCTGTTCTAGTACACTAGAAGATACGCTAGTTGTGTATTTTTAAAGCTTCATCCCTTAATGTGAAGCTAATGTATACTAATCACAAAGATTTCACTGTTAAACTTTATTTAAAGTAAAAGCTTTTTGTTAATCATACTTTCTCCTATTGTCTAGGTAATCTTGTTATTGAAAATAAGCCAACACAAGGTTACACTCCTAATGTAGTAGTGGGACAAGTTCCTCCAGGAACAAATCATATCAGCAAACCTCCAGGGCAAATTAATCTTGCACAGCTTCGGCTCCAGCACATGCAGCAGCAGGTGTTTGCGCAACAAAAACACCAGCAGTTACAGCAGATGAGGATGGGGCAGCCTGCAGGGCAAATGACGCGCCAGGCAGGTCCACAGATGCTTCAGCAACAGGCAAGTCTCTAGACTCTTTCAGATACTCATATAATCTCCAAGATAGTTTTCAGGCATAAAATTACACACGTTTAAAGTTTATATAGGGCTACGTTTTGTTAATTCTAATATCAGTGCAATGCAGTTTATTCCCTTATGAAGAAGAGGAAAAACATGGGAAAAGAGACTAGTGTTTTATAAAATTCATTATATTTTGTAGCCTCCACGGTTGATAAGTATGCAGACCATGCAGAGGGGTATGAATTGCGGTGCTTTCCAAGCTCATCAGATGAGAATGGCTCAGAATGCAGCTCGTCTCCCAGGGATACCACGCCACAACGGGCCCCAGTATTCTATGATGCAGCCACACTTACAAAGACAAGTATATGCTGTGTGCACATTTTGTTTCCCACCTTTCATTTTAGAAAAGTGAATCAGCTTGTTTTTTATATCAGTATAATTTAGCTATGAAAATGCTTTCAAAATTAAAAGCATCATTTCTATTTGCTATTTAAGGAAATGGATTTCTGCTTGCTATTTAAGGAAATGGATTCAAATTTTGTTATAAGAATCTTAAATTAGATACAAACCTAGTTTTCCATGCATAAGGCATGCAATATTCATGGGTATTAGTTTACCACAATTTTTATTGCTTTGATTGTTGGCTCTTACAGATTTGTTAATCCATAAGAATTTGTTCTCTGATAAAAAGGAAAAGTTGTAAGTGTCCAAAAACATCAGCATTAAGTTATGAACAAGAAAATGTTATTATTTTGATTTATTAAAAATAACAGGTTAAAATGAATATTGCTCTCCTGTTTAGCTAACTTCATGATAATTTCTATTTTTTTCTCTCCCCTCTTCTTAGCATTCAAATCCAGGACATGCAGGTCCCTTCCCAGTTGTTTCAGTACATAACAATACTATCAATCCAACAAGCCCAACAACAGCCACCATGGCAAATGCTAATCGTGGTCCAACAAGCCCATCCGTAGCAGCAATAGAGCTTATTCCATCAGTAACCAACCCAGAAAATCTACCTTCCCTGCCAGATATTCCTCCCATACAGGTAAGCATATTAGATAAAAAAAAGAATGAAAGTTAATTGTTACTGAAATTAACATTTAACACATACGCTTGGGTAAAATGTTTTATAATTTGTATTAAAAAGATAAAATCCAATCTATAGGATGTCTTTATTAGAATGTCTCTTTTTGCACTGGAGACTGCAAGAATGATTAACAAGATTTGTGTTTAAGTCTTCACTCAATCTTGGAATTTATTGCACAAATTCAAGGTTAATATCTCTCATGATCAAGGATATCTCCAGAATATGTGTGTGTGTGTATGTGTGTGTATATGTGTGTGTGTATGTATGTATGTATATAATAATGTATGTATATAATAATACGCTCTCACAGAGTGGGTCTCCTCAGGGTACCGTCGGCCAGACAGTGCCGGCTGGCGACCCCAAGGGGGAGGGCCTTCTCTGTGGGAGCTCCCACCCTCTGGAACGAACTGCCCCCAGAGATCAGGGTGATTCCTGATCTCCCTTCCTTCCGCCGCGCCCTCAAGACGTGGTTGTTCCAGCAAGCGGGACTGGCCTA